CAACCAAAGGCCCAGAAGGTAAGAAAGGGGAGCAATGGGTATAAATCTGAGCACAAATATAATAGCTTATATCACGATTAAGGATTAAGAGCAGAATAAATATCAATTGAATTTCAGAATACAAAGAAGACACATTAAAACTAACACAAGGGAAATAGCAGAATATCCAACAAAACAAATCCTCCTTTACAATAAAAAAATAATTAGACCCCCAAAACGTACACTATGATTCTAACAAAATTGAGCAAGTTAAAAGGCAGCCCAAATGCTAGAGTAGCTGCTTCACAGGGCCAGGCCAGAAGCCACCTGTCCACAATCAGAGGAATATCCCAGAAGAAAAGTCTGACGCTCAGATTGAAAGACAAAAAAGATCCATTATCTGGAGAGTAAGAGAGAGAGCTGATTGCAAAGATGTTGGACTGGATCTTGAAAGCTGCAGCCTTCACTGAGCAGGAACATTCAATGGGTAGATTTTGTGGGAAAAAAGAAGATCCAGTTTGGTGTAGTGGTGAAGGCACCAGATTAGAGATCAGGAAATGTTCCATTTCAGTCTCGCCTTAAGTGCGAAACTATCTGCAACTTTGGCCAGTCCTTTCAGGAAATAGGAAAGGGATAAACTACAACTGACTTAAAGGCACCAAAAGATACATCCAGGGTAAGACTGAAGGGCGCTGATGGAAAGCCACAAGTTAGGCATTCAGTGTTAGGTTAGGCATAAAGATGCCTTCCAGGAGCTATCGAATATTGAGATCCAAAAAGTATGTCTCGAGAGATAGGCAAGCTGTCTGAGGGACATTTACCCTGTAAATTACAGCATGCCATACAGGAAGTGCTTTTTATGCCACCTTGAGTTCCAGAACGAAAAGGGAATCAATAAAATGTTGGGGTTATATTATTCCAGATTCCTTCACACAACAGAACTCAGAGCCAATAGCCACCATCCATAGGGTGTGAAAACAGAGTTGTTTTCCTCTCCTTTTCTCTTTATTTTTGTGGGCGAATGTGCGTCAAAGTCTTTATATGTCCTCGAGGTAAATGTAACTGTTCAATGTCTCTATTTCCTAGAGAAAAGAATTTTAAATTCTGTTAAAAATGTTAAAATAAGCAAAGCAAAGCAAATACCCTCATCCTTTTTTGCCTGCCCAGCAAAACAGGATGAAGACAATTGTGTTCTTTTTTCTTTTCTCCTCCCTCTCTCTCCCCTTGTACTTTTAAGAACAGCCCAAAGTTTACTGTATGTGTTCAAGTGGGTTTCTCTATTTAACATCTGCACTGTTAACCTTAATATCTTTTCAAACCCTGCCTGCAAGCTATTCACCCCCCACCCCCATTCCACTTCTCTATTTCTTATCCTCTGTTCACCATTCCTCATGTCAGACCAACAATGCCTCTCCTGGGAGAGTCTATTCACAAGCAAAGAGCAAAGACTCCAGATAAGCAACACAATTAGGCAAGCCAAAAGTGGACAATATTAACTCAAACACCTAGGATTTGCATTTCCACTTTTGCCTGTAGAGCCAGCCATGACCCCTACATGACCCTATAGGAATCCAGACAGTATAAAAACCCATCCACTCAGCCATTTGGTCATCTGTCTTACAACCTAGTGTTGTTGGTTCTGCTCTTCAATAAATTGGACCTTCTTTCCTAAGCAGTCTCCATTTTTTATACCTAGCTTGGACAGGACTTGATTTTTCTTTCAACAGAAGCATCTCTGGCCAACATTAATGAAGCTGGCTCCCTTTGAGCCTCTGACCCACTGAACCTCCTGGGTCCTAAATCCTTGGGAGCCACAGAAAATCACTCTTAAAGTTTTAAGCTATAGAAAAGTTTGGATCTCCACTAAAAAAAAGTGCAGAAATCTATATATCAGCTTCCTGCAATCTAGTGCCCTCCAAGTCTTTTGCCCAAACTGGGAATAATAAGGCTGAAATCTAATTCCTGTGGAGATCGGGAAGGCTGCTCAGAGAAATTCTTCCCTCTAGTGGATTTAGGCTATGCAAGAATGCAGATAGAAAGATAATATCTCCTATCTAGGTGTAGTTTGGAAGCAATGAGGGTAGGTGTTTCCAGTTACAGTATTCTCCCATGTTTCATTATTCTATTAATAGGATGAAACTGGAAATCATTTAGCACCTGTGCACACAAACAAGACCTTCATAAACTTTTATGGTACAGCACATCCCTAATCTTGAGAAGATAAGTCAGTCAAGCTTCACTCTTCAAGCTTCGGTCAGTTGCAAAAGTAGGTTTTGAGGAGTTATCCTGCACTCCCAGTTCCCTGCAGTTTCCTTGGCAAGATTTTTTGGAAGTGGATTCCCTCTTTCCTTGATCTCAGAGGAGGGACAGGCCAAAGTCTTTCAAATGCCTTTGTGCTTAAAGCAGTATCGGACCTGAGTGTCTCTCTGACAAGGTCTTCTTTCTCCCCACAAAATCTATCAATTCAGCTGTTCTTCCTATTCCAGCCCCAAATTCAAAGCTGCAGCTTTCAAGATCCAATATCCTCCAAATAACACACATTTTACACCTTTCCATCTGAAATTCAAACTTTGATTCTGAGGAAATGGACTGTTCCTCTGATCGGGAACTTACGGCTTTTGAAATCTCCCTGTAGACCAGCTCCTCTGACTCTTAGGTTGGCTTTACTTAATTTTGCTTGATATTTTTATATAGCCCTGTAAGAGATCCTGAGGGTTTGGATCATTTCAAGGGTTTCCACCTAGTCATAATAAGATGAGACATGATAAAAGATGTGCATTAAAATATAACATCAAGGAAAAAAGAAAATTGATTAAACATATTTTTACTACTTTAAAGGTTAGAAATTTTGCACATTTAAATTTGAAGTCACTTGAAGCTTGAGACTCAGCCTCTAGGTCAGTGGTTCTCAACCTTTTTAATGCCGTGACCCCACCCGGTCGTAAGTCGAGGACTAAACCAGTCGTAAGTCGAGGACTACCCACCCGGTCGTAAGTCGAGGACTTTCCCTGCCCGGGAGCGCCATGCATGCGTGGTTCCGCCCCCTGCGCCGGCCGAGGCGTAGCTGGCAAGTGGCAGAGACGGAGCAGGCCGACCACCAGCTGGCCCAGCCCAAGGGAGGTAAGGCACCCGCCGGAAAAGGGGAAAAAATGGCGGACAAAAAAAATGGCGGACAGCCTTGCTTGGCGACCCCCATGAAATGGTCGATCGACCCCAAATGGGGTCCCGACCCACAGGTTGAGAACCACTGCTCTAGGTTTCTCCATGCGCCTGGCGTGCTCCTGTTTCTTGGGTGTCCTTCAAGGGATCACGTGCAATGTGATCTACTAAAAAAAATGGTAACTTTTCTTTTTGAATTGTGTTGGTGAAATGAAGAATTTTGGAATTCTTTGGTGTCTTCTAATCCCAGCAAAGTAAGGTTCATCTGCATAGCTAAAATGTCAGTTTCTTTGCTACAAATTATGTTCCTCTCTTCATTTGAAGGATAAATTTTTGAAAGTAATTAAGGAGCCCTGGAAGAGAAGTGAAAGAACAGGAAACGTGTGCCATGTTTTGGAAAGAGAGCTTTGCATTACCTTGTTTCAATGTTTACAGAAATGCTGACACATTCCTTTTTTTTCTTTCTCAAAAACTATTCATGGTTCTTATGCAATGGTGTTTTAGAAATGAACCATTATTTACTGTACCATTTTTCCCCTCACACCTCTCCTCAAAGGGGGGGGGGACCACACAAGTATTAGCCTCTTGGTGCTGCTCACACCTTCCCAGCCATCAAAGGCTAACAAGGAGGCCCCTAAAAACAAAGGAGATCAAAGGAGTTATGAATAAACCTGGAGATCCTGCACTCAAGAACACAACTCCCTTTCTCCTCAATTCAGTATTCCTACAGCTCTTCTCCATGAAGTTCACATGCAAGACAGGAGAGCCTTTACATCCGAAATTTTACACTGCTTTTGTCACTGCCCCAAACTCCCCCAATATATTTACTATTCATATGGTTTCTTCAACTTGCGTGCCTCATTCTCAACACAATCTGAACAGACATGCTTGGTGCACTGAATTCCTGAAACTGTTAGGAAAAAAATGAACATTCAACCCCTCTACTGAGGAAAGCACATATCTTTCTCCTTCTGTCCTGGACACTTTTTACAGAGCCACGATTGAGAGCATTTTAACAAACTTCATTACTGTTTGGTTTGGTAGTAGCAATGCCTCAGACAGAAGCTCCATATAGAGAATGGTAAGGACAGCTGAGATTATAGGAAGCTCCCTTCCCGTTATTCAGGATACTGCTTCTAAGCGCTATGTGCTTAGAGCTCAGTGTATTGTTGCTCCCCTCTGAGGTTTCAGAGTATTTATAGCAAGACTACTAGATTCTGTAACAGCTTTGTTCCTTATGCCATTTTGTAAATCCGCAGGATTCCTTTTTTTCTGCTATGTATATGTATACATTCGAACTACACCATGATATTTTTCTATGTCATATATGTGTGGATATATGCATAAAGGTATTTTCTGAGGTGAATGCAACAAAATTTAATGTTAATGTATGCAAATTAATGTACATTTAAAGTGACAATAAAGTTTCTATTCTATTTTATTTTCTATTCTATTTGTTTCTTTATTGTTTTATTATTGTTGTTATTATTCTTATGTGAGGAGCCACAATCTCTAACTATAGTCTCAGTGCTCCTATCCTGAAGTGATGCTGGCTGGGGAATTGTGGGGCTGAAAATCTCAAGGACACGAAGGGAGAAAAAGGCTGAGATGTGGCATTTCTATCATTTATCAAGATAAAAATACAAAGAACACCCCCAGAAAGATTTTTAGAGGATTGCACAATATCTGCAAAAATAAATATCCAGCACCTTCTGCTGCTGATGGCCAAACAGCTATTATCAAACAAATATGTTCCAATTTTTTCTTTCCTCCTTCCGTCTAATACTATGACATATTTGACTACAAAAAAACTAGGCAAATCCATTGTAGTCAAATTAAATAGTCAATTTCTCAATGGGACATTAGAAATGAAATTCAGCCTTCTGTAAACATATCATTTTGGGCCTCATGTGGATTTTCTTGTGTGCAATAAGAGTGGATGGTTTCCTGAAGCACTGTCCACATTCGGGGCACTTAAATGGTTTCTCCCCTGTGTGTATAAGCACATGATTTATAAGGTTAGACCTAGTACTGAAATCTTTCCCACAGTCTGGACATTCATATGGTTTCTCTCCTGTGTGAGTCCTCCGGTGTATAATGAGCTGGGAACTCTGACTGAAATTTTTCTCACAATCAGGACATTCAAATGGTTTCTCTCCTGTGTGAGTTCTCTGGTGTGCAATGAGATGGGATCTCTCACTGAAACGTTTTCCACAATCAGAACATTCAAATGGTTTCTCTCCTGTGTGAGTCCTCTGGTGTTTCACCAAGTTGGAATTTTTACTGAAATTTTTACCACAATCAGGACATTCAAAGGGTTTCTCTCCTGTGTGAGTCCTCTGGTGTATCACCAGATCATAATTCCGACTGAAACTTTTTCCACAATCAGGACATTCAAAAGGTTTCTCTCCTGTGTGAGTCCTCTGATGTGTCACCAGGCTGGAATTGTTACTGAATTTTTTCCCACAATCAGGACATTCAAAAGGTTTCTCTCCTGTGTGAGTCCTCTGGTGTATCACGAGCTGGGAACTCTGACCGAAACGTTTACTACAATCAGGACATTCAAAGGGTTTTTCTCCTGTGTGAGTCCTCTGGTGTTTCACCAGGCTGAAATTCTCACTAAAACATTTCCCACAATCAGGACATTCAAAAGGTTTCTCTCCTGTGTGAGTTCTCTGATGTATCACCAAGCTGGAATTCCGAGTGAAACGTTTCCCACAATCAGCACATGCAAAAGGTTTTTCTCCTGTGTGAGTTCTCTGGTGTCTCACAAGATGGGAGTTCTGACTGAAACTATTCCCACAATCAGGACATTTAAAAGGTTTCCCTCCTGTGTGAATCCTCTGGTGGCTAATGAGATGGGAGTTTTTAGTAAAACTTTTCCCACAATCGGGACATTCAAAGGGTTTCTCTCCTGTATGAGTCCTCTGGTGTATCACTAGGCTGGAATTTTGATTGAAAAGTTTTTCACAATCAGGACATTCAAAAGGTTTCTCTCCTGTGTGAGTCCTCTGGTGTCTCACAAGGTGGGAATTTCTAATGAAACTTTCTCCACAATCAGGACATTCAAAGTGTTTCTCTCCTGTATGAGTCCTCTGGTGTATCACTAGGTTGGAATTTTGATTGAAACGTTTTTCACAATCAGGACATTCAAAAGGTTTCTCTCCTGTGTGAGTCCTCTGGTGTCTCACAAGGTGGGAATTTCTAATGAAACTTTTTCCACAATCAGGACATTCAAACAGTTTCTCTCCTGTGTGGGTCCTCTGGTGGCTAATGAGGTGGGAATTTTTAATGAAAATTTTCCCACACTCAGGACATTCAAAAGATTTCTTTCCTGTGTGAGTCCTCTTGTGTCTCACCAGATTAGAATTTTGACTGAAACTTTTTTCACAATCAGGACATTCAAAGGGTTTCTCTCCTGTATGAGTCCTCTGGTGGTTCACCAGGCTGTAGTTGTGACTGAAATTTTTCCCACAGATAGGGCATTCAAAGGGTTTCTCTCCAATGCGAGTCCTCTGTTGTCTCATGAGGTGGGAATTTCCAATGAAACTTTCACATAATCTGGACATTCATACGTGATTTGAATCCTCTGATGTATCACCACATTGCCATGGTCACTGAGTATTTACCACATTGGGAACACTTGTAGGGCTTATCTCCACTGTGGATCCTCTCGTGCATAATCAGCTATGATTTGAAATATGTGCTTTTTCCGAAATAGACACATCTATGGAGCTTTTCCACAACTGATATGGATGATCACTTGTTTAGTGATGTTTTGATTCAAGCAGTTTTCTTCCTCCCAGAGTGAGGCCTGAATCACGGCATCAATGGCTTTCCAAATAATGTTTTCCTCCTCAATAATTTCCAGATATTTTCCTCTTTTGCTGAATGGAAAAATAATCTCCCTTGACTTTTCATGTAATGTATTGATATAATGTATCCATATGCGCTTCTTCTTTCAGCTTGAAATCCTTCTTAATTTTCTATCTTTTGTCTATCAGCTACTGGAAAAGGAGAATTGTGTGGTTTTCTAAAGGAAATGGAAAACATTTGGATTTGATTTCAATTTTCTTTCCTTTTCAATGTTGCTTGTTATTCTCGGTTGTCCAGTGCGTTCTTATTGTCATCCTCTTTGTCTATAAGATTCAAAGAAAAGTGTAACATTAATTGTGTATAAAATGGCTAGAAAACATGTGAAAAAAAGAAAAAAGTATACATTACAACGAAAAAGCAAACATGCCACAATGCTAGAATAATCTCTTACATTATGATTCATTTGATACATAGGACTACTGACATCCATGTTCAAATATCCATTCAATCATGAAATACTCTTGTTGATTTGGGTCAATCACAATTTCTTAGCACTGCAAATGGTTATCATCAAATATATCTGGATGTGTTGAGAATAGATTATATAATAGCAGATATATGCGTACAGAGACAAATACAGATACAGACACCTACAAATATATATACGTGGAAAATTCATGTCTTTCAAGCCTGAAAAATGTCTCAAAATAGTTATAGTCAAACCTGAGCTAATTTTAGAGATGTGGGCTTTAACTGATGAAATGTTGCCTAATGGCTCTGCAGGATTTGAAGCACCCATTTTAGTCAGCTCCAAATAAGGGCAGAAAATACTGCCCACAACTACTCTGGTTATATCCCACTTCAATTAATTACTCCTCAGTTACTCACTGCAATTGGGACTGGCATCAGGTCACTGAGCAGCCCAATCATGAGCATAATGTCACATGAAAGTGCCAATTTACATCTGATCCTCTGCAGTTATTACGCAAATCACCGTGGGTTGTTAAAGGCAATTTTCACAAGAATGTGACTTGCACATTCCTGCTGGCATTTAGTCACTTTATCAAAGAAGAAATAAGATTTGTGTGGCATGATCTTGTTGGCTTCTGGTTATAAGTTTGCTTGCTTCTAGGTGCTTGCAGATCTTTTGCTTGAGCAGGGGGTTGGACTAGATGACCTTCAAGGTCCCTTCCAACTTTACTATTATTATTATTATCTTTTCCAGGATCTTCTCAGGCATTGATGGCAGGCTGATTGGTCTGTAGTTTTGTGACCCCCCTTTTTTTTTTGAAGATGGGAACTATATCAATGTTCTGACCCAAGTCACTCTGGCAAGGCAACCTTTAAGTAGCGCCTCTTTATTAATAAGATAAATTTTATTGTCATTTTTTTTTTTACTGTGAGCACAGTGGCCACATGAAAAAGGAAATTCTGTTGCCTGCTCTCAAGAGAAAGCAAATGTATCTACCCATAAACATACATAACACACACATTCACATTCTATATACATACATATATACCTGCACCTATACATACACACACACACATATTGGGTCTCCTGCATACAAGGTTCTTTTCAACTGTTACTTTTTTTTACAAACCTCAAGTGACGGAACACCCACAACGTCTGAAGGGAAACCATTCCCAAAGAATCAACCTTCACTTGAAAGAGACTTTTTAAATCTTCCCAGCAGCAGAAAATTGCAGCCACCAGTTTAACAGCGTGCAGCACCAGTGGACTTAAAAGTTGGGGAGGGAAGGGATTTGCTGCAGTAGCAGCTGAGATGCTTCAGCCTAGTTGCTTCTCTGCTTGGACTCAGTGAAGGAAACCCAAACAGCCCCGCTTACTCCCGGCTTCTCCTCCGACCTGCCCTCCACTCACCGTCCAGCTGCTGCTTCAACTCTGGGAAGACCACAAAAATCCCTCTACTCGCTACTTTCTGTCCATGACTGATCCGGAATAAGAAGTTCCTCTGCGCGTCTCCCCTCCTCCCCTCGATGATTTTAACACCTTTAAGCTCAACCACAGACGCCGCCTGCTGTATTGTCCGCTAGAAAGTTTGCCTATTTGACCGCCATCTCCGGATAGGTGGTGGAAAAACATGCTTGTCTCGTCTGTGCCTAAGGCGTTTGCAAGATATTTTCACTGATCTGGTTTCTCCATGGACTTTGCCTGTCAGAAGATCACAAAAGGGGATCACGCGACACCGCAACGTCATAAATCTGAGTCAGTTGTCAAGCATCTGAATGTAAATCACGTGACCATGGGGATGCTACAATGGTCATAAGTGTGAAAAATGGTTATATGTCACTGTTTTCAGTGCCGTTGTAACTTCAAATAGTCACTAAATGAACTGTTGTAAGTCAAGAACCTATCTGTAGTTTCCTGGTGCTCCAAGAACTTTGAAAGGTATGTTTTCAGTGGTTCTGAAATCACACCTGCTGGTTCCTTCAGAACTCTGGGATGTGTAGTCCGTCCAGACCCACTGATTTGAAATGGTCTGGAGCCGACAGGTGTTCTCTTATCTTATTTTTGCATATTTTAATTTGCATTCTTAACCTGTCATTTATGGTTCTGTTTCTGATAAGTTGAGTCGTGGTTTCTTTTTGGGTGAAGACAGATGCAAACTGTCTTCTTCTTATGGTCTCTCTCCTTCTTATACTCCTATGAATTAGGGAGGTGATTGTCTGAGTCCCTTCTGAGTAGGATCTGTGTGCTGCAGACTTGAGATATGTTTTCCCCTTATCTCTTTAGTAATTGCGTTTGTATATCTTCCAAGGCCATTTTTTTCAGTCTGTGCAATGGGGGCCTCTAGGCATAGGATATGGTGGGTGGCAGTGCTGGGCTAGGAGCAGGGAGATACACTTTGTGTTCTCTACACAGTCATGGACGGAACGGGACCTTTAGGCACAGACTCTTGGCCATGGCTCCTTTGCCTCCCGCCTCTGCCTATTTATATCCCGCTTTGCTCCTCTGCTGGCCCTCCGCTCTGCGGCCTTCGGCCCCAGCCCATTCACCAAGGCACCTTTTGTCCCGGGCCTTTCGGTGCATGGGACAAATGGCTGGCAGCCAATTGGGTGGCAGGCAGAAGCCATGGTGCTACAGGGAGCAGCATGCAATGGATGATCGCAGGGGCTGGGGCAGTGTGCAATGCAAGACTTTTTTTAAAAAGTGCTGCGGCTGCTCTGCAGATTTTGGAGACTTGCAGCTCTATCACTAGAAGCAGAGGGAGGGTGGTGGTGGGAGTAGCAGCCACCAGGGCCATTGGGGGGCAGACAGGAGAGTCTGTGTTGGGGGGACCAGCAAGGGAAGGAAGGGTGCCTCAAGGGGACTTTACAAAGACAGCTTGGCTCACAACTCAAATGAAAAAAGGAAAGAGGAACAAGGTCGGCACGGATTCTGGCATTGCAGGGGGGGCTTGGGGGAGGCTCAGCAGGTGAATGGCAGGGCTGGCACAGCATCTGCAACTGCGTGCGGGGACGAGGGTTGAGTGTGTAGGTGAATGGCGATGGGCCGCAGCTTCTGGCGGGGGGAGTGGGAAGGCAGCAGGCCAATCACCTGTTCGGTGTCATGCTGGCAGGATCAGGCAGAGTGGGGTGGGGCAGCTGGCTAAACGCCTGGCCTGACAACTCATCCCCGCAATTGCAGAAGCCATGCCAGCCCTGCCGTTCGCCTGTGCACCCACACGTGCCCCCTGCCAGAAGTCAAGGCCCACCATTGTTCGCCTGAGCATCCCCCCAGCCTCCCTACCCAGTGGTGGGATTCAAATAGGTCAGTGGTGGCGAACCTATGGCACGGGTGCCTGAGGCGGCACTCAGAGCCCTCTCTGTGGGCACGCGCGCTGTCACCCCAGTCCTATGCCTTCAGTTGAGTTTTATAAAACCTTTTCACTTTAGGCCTCCACCGCTGTGTACAAAAAAAAAAAAGGTTCAATCAGTCAGTCAAAAAAGATCTTGCAAAGTTGGAATTGATTGATTGAACTTTTTAGTCCCACCCAGTCTCCTGTTACCACCGCAGCCATGCCCACCCAATGGGCGACACCCACCCGGCACCCGACGACGCATAAGTGGGTTTTGGGTTGCAGTTTGGGCACTCGGTCTCTAAAAGGTTCGCCATCACTGAAATAGGTGAACAACTGGTTCTCTGTGTGGATGCTGCTTCCGGAAGTCCATTCTGGGCCTGGGCAACAAAAAATTAGCTACCGGTTCTGCCAAAGTAGTGTGAACTGGCTGAATCCCACCACTGCCCCTACCCCTGCAATTGAAGATGCCACACCAGCCCTACCATTCACCTGCTCCCCCCCCTTGCAATACCAGAATCCATGCTGGCCTTGTTCCTCCTCCCCTCTTTCAATTCAGTTGCTAGCCAAGCTTTCTTTGTGAAACCCTCTTGAGGTGCTCCTCCCTCCCTTCCTGCCCCCCCAAAACACCCTCGTCTGTCTGCCCTCTAAGTGGCCTAGTGGCTGCTACTCCTGCCGCCATTCCCCCTCCCTCTGGTCCTGGTGACAGAGCTGCAAGATTCCCAACCTGCGGAGCAGCCACAGCATTTTTTTAAAAAAGTCTTGCATCGCACATTACCCCCCCCCCCCAGCCCCTGCAGCACCATGGCTTCTGCCTGTCACCCGATTGGCTGGTGGCTATTTGTCCGGTGCAGCCAAAGGCTAGGACAGGGGTCTTCAAACTTGGCCCTTTTATGACTTGTGGACTTCAACTCCCAGAATTCCTAAGTCAGCGTGCCTGGCTGAGGAATTCTGGGAGTTGAAGTCCACAAGTCATAAAAGGGCCAAGTTTGAAGACCTCTGGGCTAGGAAAAAGAGTTTCTCGACAAATGGGCCGGGCCAAAGAGAGCGGGGCAGAGGGTGAGGGACCCA